CCCCCCTGTGGAGTAAAAGGGTGTGTTATTTGCAGGCAGATCTATTTAAGGATGAGTCTGCAAAAACACAGACACATACACACACACACACACATACACACACACATACACACACACACACGCACACGCACACACACACACACACACACACACACACACACACACACACACACACACACACACACACACACACACACACACATACACATACACATACACACACACACACGCTTCAAGTTGCATAAATGCTTGAGCTACATTTTTATTATAATTACTGTGAAATCTGCCTATTATGTTTACGTCATTATTAAAACAAATACACACTTTTTATTTTTACTTTTTTGTATTTATTGCAGAGGCTACAGACACAAAACATGGACATTACAATAACAAAAAGAGACATTCTTATCTCAAACAACAACAAAAAAAAACAGAAAAGAATAATAATAATAAAATACAGTCAGTTGGTCACTTCAACATTTCATAAACAAAAAAAAAAACAAAAAAAATAGGTTGAAAGTCCAATATCATCAAAAGCATGTATTATTCCTTTTTATCCCACTCTTCGCTAGAGCTGATTGTTTCCCATTTCATGGTGTGTTGAGCCATCCTTTGATTCTTTGTGGCAATCATCCTTTCCAAAATAAATTGTGTTTTTAATCTACTTTTTACACACCTTAAATTCAGAACAAATACACACTTAATTGCAACTGATAACACTGGCAATGATTTTATATTTATTAAACTGTAGAAAACAAATCATGCTTCAAATAAGTGGGGCTACGTCGTCCAACGCCCGCTACACCACTGTGTACACGTGTCAAACAGAAATGTGAATCGGATTTAAATCCTGTCCATATTTCTCTGTGACCAGGCACCGTGAGGATCGAGATGTTCAGGAACATGCAGAACGCAGAGATCATCCGCAAGATGACCGAAGAGTTTGACGAGGTAAGTCCAGACGGAGAATAGTTTGAGTTCAAGTGAAAGGGTTATCTTGTAAAGGATGTGTTGCTGTATGTGTCATAATTATTAGCGTATCAAATATGTTGCCAGTCTATCGAAGCGATCCACAGTGTGTCCTCTTCTCACGTTCAGGGATAATATGCCACTATCTAAAAAACATATAGAAAATAAAACACTTGATAAAACAAGATACTAATATTTAAAAAAGCTTACATAGGTAATGTGTTATACGGACTACAAAGAGGCATACTATGAGACCAAATCAAAATCCCACTGATAAATAATATTATTAAGATCAAATCAAAACTCACCTTTTCAGAAATGCTTTTAATCTGTAATTAAAGTTGTGTTTTAACTATGTTTTAATGAATTTTACTCTGTTAAGTGTCTTTGAGTTTCAAGAAATCACACTCTATAAATAAAATGCATTATTATTATTATTATTATTAAGATCCTTACCTCTATTTACATCATGAACATGTACATCAAACACTGCAGCAGCAGCACAATAAAAGTTACTCTGACCACCCACCGCCCATCTCAGTTATATATAAATCAGACCGCATTGCACAACAGCATCAACAACAACAACAATAAGATAACAAACAAGATCTGACATGGTGTCTTGAAAAATATAACACAGTTGGCAGTAAAGCTTTATGGGTTGTGGAGTTCGCCAGCTGAAGAGGGACAATATTTCTCCAACACTGAAGTAAGCGATGGGATATTGTTGCCAGCAAAGAGGCTTTGAACAAGATACCTCTGATAAGCGATGATGAAGCCGCTCTGATAAGGATGTTTTGTGTTAAGAAAATATCACTCGTCCCCGGCTTGAGCTTCAATCTCAGGATCCATGTATTTGTGAAGAATGGAAGTAGTCATCACATACAGAGCATCAACTAGTGTCCTTCACATGCTGATATCCAAGAGAGGGAGTTACACAGTCACTAGATGCAGGATGTTGGCTTTTTTCTGAAAATCCCACATTCTGACTTTCTCTCAAAATGATGACTCTTTCTCAAAATTATGAACTTTTACTAAAAATCTAAAAATTATGACTTTTTCTCAAAATCTAAAAAATTCTCTCAAAATTATGACATTTTTCAAAAAATCTCAAAATCCTGTATTTTTTTCTAAAAATCTCAAAATTATGACTTTTTACTCAGAATCTCAAAATTATGACTTTTTTCTCAAAATGAGCTTCAATCTCAGGATCCATGTATTTCTGATCCTCCAGAATGGAAGTAGTCATCACATACAGAGCATCAACTACTTTCCTTCACATGCTGATATCCAAGAGAGGGAGTTACACAGTCACAAGATGCAGGAATACCGGTTCATCTAGTAATCATACATCCTGTCATGTACTAAATACTGACTTTTTCTCAAAATCTCAAAAGTCTGAATTTATCTGAAAATTATGACTTTCTCAAAATCCTGACTTTTTCTCAAAATCCCCAAATCCTGACTTTTCCTGAAAATTATGACTTTCTCAAAATCCTGACTTTTTCTCAAAATCCCCAAATCCTGACTTTTTCCTCAAAATCCCAAAATTCTAACTTTTTCTCAAAATATCAAAATTCTGACTTTTTTTCTCAAAATCCCCAAATCCTGACTTTTTCTCAAAATATCAAAATTCAGACCTTTTTCTCAAAATCCTGACTTTTTCTCAAAATCTCAAAATTATGACTTTTTNACTATAGGTTACTTACGTAACCCCCGTTCTCAGAGTAACATGAAGTGAGATGTCTCACCAGACGGCCCTTCTTTCTAAGGCGAAGCGAGAAGAGGTGCTTATTTTGAATGACGCTGCGACGTAGCGCAAGCTACTTAAAGGGTGGGTGGATTCCCTGACGTAGACGTCAAGATCACCAGCCAATCAGGATTGGCGTAATGAGATTGATGCTGCTGTTTACATACGCGTTGAGGCGCATCCCATAGTGAGACATCTCACTTCATGTTACTCTGAGAACTGGGGTTACGTAAGTAACCTATAGTTCTCCCTGTTGCTCAATACTCGCATCTGTCACACTGATTTTGGTTTTTACACTGTATTACACACAAATATACACATTTACACAAGTTGCCTATAATCCCAGTGTCAGGCCTGTTAGTTAGGACAACTAGAGATACCCACCACTCAAATTCAGATTTGTACCATTTTGTATATGTCATGATGATCCATGTATGTTAAATGATATGGTGTATTTTATTTGTGGGATATAAATATCTATTCACACAAAGTGGGTATATACATCATCTAAGATTCTGAATTAATTTAAAAGTCAATTCTTAAAAAAAGTATATTTCTTTCCTCAAAATAGCCTAGATATTGATAAAGACTAACAGTAAAACCACACACCAAGCATAGGTTGTGCCACACATCGTTGTTTGATTTGTTGCAACAGTTTTACCCTGTTATTTTGTGTACAAGAATATTCTTGAGAAATACTGAAGACTATTGTTGTTGCGTAATGTACCGAATTGATTTTTAATTCAAAATCGAGAATACATTTTGATCAAAATGTGACACAAGGTGTAAAAAATAAATAAATCAGGTCTCAATTTCCACTTTTCACACTATGCCGATAAGTCAAATTAATGCATTTATTGTGAGAGTGTTTTATATCAAACCTATGTTGTCCCAGTTTTGAAGTCTAAGTAAGTTCATTAGACTGGATGATTCCTTCCTCTCACATTTGTCACCTAATTTTGGCACATTAGTGACATTCAGCCTTTAAATAGTCCTCTGAAAACACTTTTTACTGTCACGTGATATTGTGTGTGTGTGTGTGTGTGTGTGTGTGTGTGTGTGTGTGTGTGTGTGTGTGTGCTACATGCAAATTAGTCGTCTTTTCGGCGCCCTCCCGTCTTTTTTAACGCTGATTTNTTTTACTGTCACGTGATATTGTGTGTGTGTGTGTGTGTGTGTGTGTGTGTGCGTGCGTGCGTGCGTGCGTGCGTGCGTGCGTGCGTGCGTGCGTGCGTGCGTGCGTGTGTGTGTGTGTCCTGGTGTGAGATCTTCAGGAACAGATGGATCTCACACCCATTGACCCTGGGGGACATCACTGTTGACTCTTTCTCATTCAATCCCTGGTTTCATTTCTGGATCCAACTTCTTTTCCCACTCTCACCCTCTACAGACACACCATATGTGCGTCTCTTCTATTTCTATAGGGGCCACAGAGCCACTGCTGTGTGCCAACTCTGTATGTCAGTTCTCACCAAAATGCAGTAAATTAGTCATGTCGTTGCTTTTCGCTAAGTAACCACATATTGGATGTCACTAGGCTCCAGATGTATCCTGCACAGTGTTCAGACATGCCTGCCCCCCCCGACATCACCCCGTTTCCTCATCTCACATTTGCAAATATAGACGTGTTAATAGCCAATTTGATGCTACATTTGGTGTTGCTGCCCATGTTTTCCATTCTCTAGGAATAGGCCTTTTTGATATTGCTTGACAACATTTTTGAATGTAATTATCCCCAAAGGGTTTAATGCATTGAAAAATAAATTTGTTTCAAGTCGACGTCTCTCCTCGCCTCTCTTCCTTTCCCCTCGCCGTACTTACTTCAGTCTTGTCTTTGAAGCCTCAGAGTGATGTGCTTGTTTACGCTTGTGTGCAATTTTCCAAGGGAGATGCCACGATGCCAGAGAGCACCCCTGGGTGCTGCTCTCCATCTCAGGGTAATCAAGGTCAGAGATCCTCTTCAGAGCGGCTGCAAAGGAGTGACCATAGACTGTATATATAAAGGGAGTGACGCAGCGTTAAATGATACTCACCCAGGCTGTCCGCAACACTCTACCTTTCTTTTTGCATCCTCCATGCACTTGAGCTATCTTAGGGTCATTCACTCGCTCAGAGGGCACTTTCA